GCCTTGCAAGATTGACAACGGATCCCAAAGCTCAACAAGCACACGGATAAAGACTGCTGCCTTCGGAGAGACAAAAGAAAAGGTGCTTGTCCCCCTTTTGCTGCCACTTGCGCCGTTGCAAACAGCAAAGCGAAGGCTTAGACATAAAAACAAGTGCTGAGGCCTAAGATTCGTCTTGAGGGGAGGTTTTTGTGCCGCCCTGTAGGGAACATGAGGGACCATCGGAAGCGCCCCAACCAGTCAGCACTCACCAGCAGCACAGCCAAGCTGCACTCGCCAGTGCGGAGCTCCGGAGGCTGCCAATTGGTGATCCGAAGTTGGCAGTGCCCTTGCCATTTACATGTCCGTCGCCTTACTACTTGTCCTCGTTGGCGTCGGCAGTAGAGGAAAAGTTCCTGGCACTCCACGCGTCAAGGCCACGGACGAGAACCCCCCAAACGTCACCAACGCTGCAACGACAACAAATGTTCCCCGCGCGGCAACAGCAACCCGCTAGAGTCGCTAGAGTCGCTAGAGGCTTCCTGGCAAATCGCTCCTGGAAGGCATCTTGGAATAGCGAGCACCCCGCCCAAATTGTGTTTTTGTGCTGTTGGCAGAGGCTTGCTGAATCTGGTTGGTGATGGTCAACTCGCAGTGGTTTCCGCCTGTGCACTGATGCCGGACCGGCCCCTCAGTTTTGCTTAGATGGCTTAGATGTTCCAGCCGTGCTACGCCACTGCCCAAAACTTGCCCGTTGAGAACGGTGGCACCTGCAAGCTGCGACTCGTTGCAAGTAACCGAGTGGTGACCTGAGATGTCGCTTTGATACAGGGTTTGAAATCACGCAACACAGGGTGCGAACACACCCTTCCACACTCTGGTAGGGTCTTTTGGGGCCCAAGCCTGCCCTCTGCACCCACCAAGCAGACAGAAGCAGGCAAAAAAAAACAGGAATCACAAAGCCCTGACTCGCCATCCCTGGAGGAGGCAAGGAGCTCGTTGCAGGAGCTGATTGAAGCTTTGCTCGCTTCAGCACGCTGGAGGCCCCTCCAGACCACTTCTTGTGCAATAACCATTTGGCCATCTCTCCTATAAAGGCTAAGCACCGCAGCAACCCCCAAGTTTCCTGAACCTGAAACTGTCGAGTTGAGGGCACGACTCCTTTGGGGCTCGACATGAAGTGGACTCCGGGCAACCTCACACTACGAATGAGGGAAATGCTGGCGTCGAGGTTCGTCGCAGCGCCGTCGATCCTTGCGCATCTAATCTATGCCTGCTGCCTCCCGCAGCATACTGTCCGTAGATGAGCGAATCGCAAGTACAATCTGGCACTTCGACGGACACACAACGAGAAAGGCTCCATGAAGATCTGCACTTTGTACTACTTGAGCTGAGGGCTCACCACAAGTCGAGACCCTCAAGGAAACCAACATCATGGCGTGGCTTTTCCAGCAGCCGCTTAGCACTCTGGTCGCCAAGTCTCCTGCAACACAAGCCTCATCCTGAACATGCAGCGACTGAACAACTCATTAAAGCTTCGCTCACAGGGCTGGCACCAGCATACCGCAAACGCTTGAGACTGTGCTCTCGATACCTTCTCTTCCGCATCCACGGGGCCTGTCACTACTACAACATTTGTTCCCATGCAGCCAGTACGCAACACGATGAAAAAACTAAGAAGTTGCATCCCCCCTGCAGTGCTGTGCCTTGAGGTGTATTTATAAAATATATATATTATATATATGTATTTATTTATGCATTTGAAACAGTTCTTCTCGTGGTTTCCTGATCTGCGCATTCTACGGGAGGAAGCCTCAAAACAACCGAGGTGCTCCTCAAGCAGCTCTGACAGCTCTCAGAGCTCCGCTGAACCGTCCGTGCAGTCGAGCGTTGGCTGTGTTGGCGTACCACCTCAGGAGCTCCAGGGGCACAATCTAGGGCACTCTGTGTGTTGGGGTTATTAGGTTCCAAATGTAGAAGGAGCAGGTTCTGAAGATCTCAGCGAAGGGGTGCGCCTTTGTACTCTGGCCGGGGCGCCCCTCCTTCCGCTGCAAGCAGCTCCTCAGCTCCTCAGGCTCTTTCGAAACCTGTGCTGGAGAAGTGGAGAACGGCTCTTTTTAGGACCTTTAGGATTTACGGGTTTTTATACGAGAGGGGGGGCATTCTTACATTGTTGTGCAGGGATGAAACTTTGCTGCGGCTCGGCACCTCCAGTGACTGCAGTGGTGAGGGAGGTCTTGGTCGCATGCCGCTGGAGGAGGGCATGGTTGTCTCCAAGGCATGCCGTTCACGTTTTTGCCTGTCCGCTAACACCTTAAGGGCATCGCATGGCAATGCTGTTTGGAAGTCTTTGGGGGGATTTCAATGCAAATGCCACAGCCCAGTTGCAAGCGATCGATGAGGGAGGTCGCTGCTCGAAGCAGCAATGCCCAAGGGACATCCCACAACAGCATCACTCCGCCTTGGGAAAAACATGCTCGTAACATGCCAAAGCTGCGGCTGCTTTAGCTGTGCAAGGGGATCTGACACATGTTTGGTTGGGGGGATTGGGCCATTTGCGAGCCTGAACAGCACGCGGGAGAACATGAACCACTGTTAGAACTCCGCATAAACCAACAAGACTCGCTCTTCTCCCTCTCTTCCAGGCTTTGGAAAAATGGATCATTCTATATAAGGCCGGCTTTTTCACCATAAACTGGAGGCCAAACCACCCAGATGTGAGGCCATGGTGCTGCACAGGGTCCTGCAATCCAAGGGAACTTACACGGATGCAGATGCAGCCTACTTGGCAAACATGTAAATCAATATTGGGTTCAGTTCTAAGATGGCATCTGCAGAACCTCCGGGCACCTGAGTAAGGACCTGGTTGCCATTTGAGTTAAGCCACAGCCGTAAACCTTAAGGGCAACACGCGACACAAGCCTCATGGGTTCCCAACTATGGCTCCTTCTGCCGTTTCTATCATGGACCATTCTTTCCTTCACATCTGAATCATCGCCTTGGAAACCTTTCCCTGACTTGGCCAGCGGCTGCCAAGGCAACTTGAGTCTTGGGGTTCCGCCAGGGAAGCAGATTCGGCAGACTTCCCTCCTCATTATCCCTAAACCCTAAAGTTGGTCGACTCAGAAACGGGGTCCTGCAGGAATGGAAAAGAAAACTCAAGGGAAAAGGTGCCCTCCCGCCGCTCATTTGGGAAGGAACAGCTGCGGAAATAGCCGTAAGACAAGTGCAACTGTCACAAGGGGGCCCAGGGGGGGGGGGGAGGGGGGGGGGGTGGACACATGCAGAGCCGCCAGGTGAGGTGCTGTATGTGACGATTCGAACAAGCACACTGGCACTTGTCTATACTTGTTCGCCCAAGCGCACTTTTTCCGACAGCCTTTCTTTGCACTGTTTGGTGATTCTGAGAAGATTCTGAAGCCTTACCCGGGCATGTCTGCCACTTCTTCCAAAGCCCTAGGCTTTGCAAGGCTTGCCTCAAGTCTTTGGGGGGATTTCAATGCAAATATCCATTTCAATGCAAATATCCAGCCCAGTTGCATGTGGAGTGAGGGAGGTCGCTCGAACCAGCAATGCCCAAAATGGACATCCACAACAGCATCACGCCGGGGGAGTGGCGTCGTTGTGAGCCTGAACAGCACACGAGAACATGAACCATTGTTAGAACTCCGCAAAAACCAACAAGACTCGCTCTTCTCCCTCTCTTCCAGGTTTTGCAAAATGGATCATCTAGAAGGCCGTCTTTTTCACCGTAAACTGGAGGCCAAACCACCCAGATGTGAGGCCATGGTGCTGCACGGGGTCCTGCAATCCAAGGGAACTTACACGGATGCAGATGCAGCCTACTTGGCAAACATGTAAATCAATATTGGGTTCAGCTCTAAGATGGCATCTGCAGAACCTCCGGGCGCCTGAGTAAGGACCTGGTTACCTTTTAAGCTAAGCCACAGCCGTAAACCTCAAGGGCAACACGCGACACAAGCCTCATGGGTTCCCAACTGTGGCTCCTCCTGCCATTTCTATCATGGACCATGGGTTCTACTTTGCCCTCCTGGTATTCACTTTCCTTCACAGAACCATAGCCTCGGAAACCCAACTTCCCCTGACTTGGCCAGCTGCCAAGGCAACCACAGTCTGGGGTTCTGCAGGGGAACCAAGCTAGATTCGGGGCAGACTTCCCTGCAACTTGCTGAATCCTGGTCGGCTCACTGGTTCCTGCAGGAATGCAAAGGAAGAGGGAAACGAAAAGGCGCCCGCACGCTCACTAAAACTGAAGAATCTGCTGCGGAAATACCCACAAAAAAAAAAGTACAAGTGCATCTGTCAAGGGGGGGCGGGGGGGGTTAATTTCGTTCGGGGCCCAAAGCCTCACAAAAAGCCAAGCATGTTGCGACACAGCATGCAAGGCCGCCATGTGACGTGCTATATGCGACGATCCGAAGAAGTCAAAGTCACGCTGGTCTTGGGCCCTACGTGCACAAAACGCGCAGCTTGGAAACAGCCTTTCCTTGCACTGTTTTGTGATTCCGAGAAGATCCTGAAGCCGCATCAGGCATTTCTGCCACTCCTCCCAAGCCTGAGGCCCTAGGCCTCCGAGCTTTGCAAAGTGAGGAGCCTGCAAGGCCTTGCAAGGCTTGCCTCGGAGTATTTTCAGGTCGGGACGAGAGTCTGCTTTGGAGACAAGATTTGCTAGTTTCATGTCTCGAAAGCAATAAGCGACGCACCCGTTGAGGGAGAAAACCATGTCCCTTGGGGACCATGGAGTTTAAAAGCCCCTCAACCAAGTGCAGCGAGAGTTAAAACTGTCCAATGCAATTTTGTGGCCACTTGCCAGCAAATGGAAGTCATCCTTGTGCGGGTTCAAAATTACAGCAGCGTGTCTCTCAACTCGTCGTCGTAAGCGCCCGACTCTGAGAGAAGCGGCCTCCAGTAGAACGTTGTTGGCCTCGCCCCTCCAGACACAAACGCCATGTCAGTGTCGTTGACAGTCGCCACCCGGCACCTAAGCGCAATGGGGAAGAAGCCACTTAACACTATAGGGATGCTCAGGGGCGCTATAGGGATGCTGGGGCCCTGACCCGTACAGGCCGCAGTCCGTGGTCAGCGCGGGATCCCCGGATGCTGCCAGGACGAATCGGTCTCCCTTGTAGATGCAGGTGCCGTCTTTGACGACCCCTGCTGGCGATCGGAGGAAGAACCTCGGCTGGAAGGAGACATCCGAGCCCCGGCCGAAGATCATCTCACCGCTTTCGGAGGAGTAGCCGACGCTACATCCATGTGGGCTACAAAGCGGAGAGTCCACGTCGTTGAGTCTGCACAAGCGCCGACCTTGTGGTCCACCGTCGGGTCGTGGTGCTGCAGCACCAGGTATCACGCACCGACAGTTCTCTGCGCCCTGAGGCGTATGATCAAAAATCACGCGGCCTGCATGCGCATCCACACCTCCTGCGACAAAGCAAAAAGCCGCGCAGGCGTTTAGGTCGGTGAAGGCATCGGTGAGGATGTTGGAGTAGATCTCCTGTGGCACTTGCCCAGCTTCTTGACAGCTGAACGACACGGGACGGGCGCAATAGACTCGACCATCATTTCCCTGTGATTGCGGGCCACTTGCGCCCTCTGCAGCCATGCATCGGCAGCTGTTCGCCTGCGAAGTGAGCGTGTAGTCGAAAGCCACACCACCGATGGCAAAGCACGCCATGGCACAGCCCACCTCCTCGGGAAGGTCTCGCTGGAAGAGAAAGACCGCTCCAGGCTGCGCCTCACCTGCAGCGCAAACTCGATGGACTTGGGAGGCGTTCGAGGCGTTCCCGTACTCGAGGAGGGACACGGGGCGCCCAGAGGACGGAGAGGGCTTTGGCTTGGGCTTTGCCTTGGTTGGCTGGGACAGTGGGCGTCGGGTTGAGCCCCCTTCAATCAAGGCCAAAAGGCCAGGGACATCGTAGGTGCAGGAGCGGCGGGTGGCCGAGGAGCTGGAAGAGACAGCCTGACTCGTGTAAATGCAAGCGCAAGTGCCCGCAGCCGGGTTTGAGTCCACGTCAAAGCCCACGAGTCCCGCGCGGGCATCCGCGCCGCCTGCGGCCCAGCAGGTGGCCGCACAGGCCTCCTCATCGCTCCAAGTCGTTTCAAAAATGGTCGGAGCTCCTTGGCGTGTCCCTGCCACGCAGCTAGTTGAGACTGGAGGCGTTGGAGCACAGTAGAGTCGACCAGCGTCATCGTCGCTTGGACTTCGAGCATCCTCCACGTCAATGCAGCGACAGCTGTCAGAGCTCCCGCTGCTGCCTGGCTCAAGGTCGTATGCCACGCCGCCAGCTGCTGTGCATGCGATGCCACAATCCTCGGGCCTGAGGTTCCGCTCGAAGATGAAGCTGCTGTTACTTGGCGCTTGGCCAATGGCACAAGCTTCCTTGAAAAGATAGTCTTCGCTCTCCGTGGCTTTGACGCACGCGTATCCAAAGCCCCCCTGTGGCCCATGGTCCACATCTGTGAGACGATTGAAGCTGAAGCCGTCCTCAATTGTTCCGAAACAGCCTGACGAAAGCGAGCTGTTTGCGGAGCCAATGTCAACACATCGTGCTGAGTTCGGCTCCTGCTGCGCGCAGAAGGAGCCTAAGACGTTGGCGGCCCTGGCGCACTGCTCCGGGGACTGGATGAGGCTCCATCCATCAACCACACAGGACCCCGAGTCAAAGAACTTGAACTTCTCCCTCGCGTTGCGGAAGCATATCTGGCTCAGGCTCTCGTTGACCCCGCTCACGAGGTTGGGGTCGACCCGGTTGACCTCCAAGCCGAGCTGCTGCGTTCCGTAGCAGCCCGCTGGTCGGGTCAGATCGGACGTGTTTCCGTCGCAGTCACTTGTGCAGTTCCAGCTCAGGAACCTGGCAGCACGGGCACACTGCACTGCGCTGCCGATGAGGTTCCATCCTTGGATTCGGCAGTCCACTCCGTTGAAAGCTTGGAAGACTTCTATCGCCCGCGTGCAGTAGCGACGACCTTCAACTTCCGAGTCTGCCTGGGGCCGCAAGTCCCCCCTCCCAACACACCGGCAGCTGTCAAACTGCTTCCGGACGCTGAAGTCAAAGGCATCGCCGCCTTGGCTCCCAGTACAAGTTGAGAGCAGCTCAACGTCCAGTCATCTGGGACTAGCTCAAAAGGGGTTCCTCAAAGAAGCCTGAACGCCTAAGCAAAAGCCTAAGCCGTAGGCCGAGGGCGGCCTGTTACACAAGAAGCTGCATGCAGGAACGTTTCTTTGGGGACCCGTCGCCCTCAAGCCATTAATATCACTATCTGACTGCGGGGAAGTTTTTCATTTTTGGGGTTGGGGCTTGGGTCCGCAGCAAGCTGTGACGAACGCAGCAGTGCCAGGGCACCCACACTGAAGCAGGCACCAGCACAGCCGACTTCGGAATTGTAAGGAAGTTGGAACGCGAAGGAGGACGCCTCGAGCTGTGCATCGATGCACTCTGTCGGGATGGCCGTGCGCACGCAGAAGGTCCGGTTCGTTTCGGTGTTCTCCTGACCCATGGGACAGGGGGCAAATGACAAGATTCAAGAACATGGTATCCAGTGGCTTAGGCTCCTACATTAGAGATCCCGAGAGCCGGAATCCGGTCCATCCGAGACCTTGACGACAAAGCTCTTGGGCAAGCGAGTCGCTGAGTGCCCATTTCCATATACTCACAAGAAGCCGATTAAAACTTATTACAAACCCTAAGCCCTGCACGAAGTACACCCTCTCACCTTCGTGTTAACGTAGAAGGGAATGGGGGAACAGGGTACCCTGCATCCGTACCTCATTCCCGCAGTCACCGGCCCCGCGTCTCCTTCAGCACCTGGGCGCGCTGGGCACAGCGGCAGACGCCGTCTGGGCCGAAGTCCAAGGCACGGGAGCGCCGATCCCCGAAGCAGGCGCTGGTGCAGAGACCAAGGCGCCTCTTGGCACAGGAGTAGGGGCTTGAGGTCACCGGGGTCCATAGGGTTTCTCAGGGACTGATGTGAGAGTGACCGGCCAAAGCTCTCTTTACTCATGACTCACGCCTCAGGATCCAAGGACCCACCGACCATGTACTCTCAAAAGCCCAAGTGCTTGAGGGATGCTGAGCCCCAATGTTCGTGCCTTTCGAGGCTCGTCCTGTTATCCTGGGTGAACTCGTTGGAGACCTGCGTAGGGCCCACTTGACTGAAGCTATGTGGCAGGAAGTCAGGTCAGCATTGTTCTACTTGTTCTGCCAGGCGAGGACTTCCTTCAATGCTCCGAGCCCCCCCCCCCCCCCCCCCTCGAAGCAGTCGACTCCGAGGTTGCAAATGGAGAGCTCTCCGCTGACACAGCCTTCGACAGCATCCGGGCTCCAAGAGATCGCAACTTCATCACCGTACTTCACACCTGGCGAGACTGCACGCTATTCTGTGAAGGCTTCGCCCTGAGGGCTTCCCTTCTTCTGATTTTTTGCATGTTACTCAAGAGGCGCTCGTATCATTTTGCATGCATACATGTGGTGCACCATGCAGAGATGCATGAAGGCTGGGCGTGTGGGTCCCAGGCACAATCGCTGGCGTTGCTTGAGGCGGTCCCCCGGACATAGAAGGCGTCGGGCGTCTCGGAGCCCCTGCCCAGCCTCATCCTTGAAACAAGCGTTTAGGGCAAGGGACTCCGGGATTTTTTGGGGTGGAATTTATAAGGACTCTATGGGACCCTAGAGCGGTTCCGTGTAACCCAAGGGTCCTGTAGTCCTCGGTATCCACGTAGGCCACCTCACAGCCGTAGTAGCCGCAGTCGTTCTGGATCTCCTGATATTCCAGCAAACTGCCGCTTGTTGGGGGCTTCTATGAGAAGGTCCGGCTCCCTGCCTTAAAACCTCTACGCGCCTTAACTCTCCAAACCTTCACAAAGGCTGGGTGATTGCAGTCATGGGTCTGGATCTGTGGAGATTGCGGCGCGATCGCCGTAATGGAGGGGTCCGGGAGCCGTCGGATCGACTGTGGTTGCGGGCTCAAACTTTTCCGAGTCATCCTGCGCGTCGCAGGTGATCCGGTCGCTGCACTCGGCAGAACCTGCCAGGGAGCTCCTCGCGAGCTCAAAGCACCGATCCTTCGTCAGAAACTGGGTGTTGGGGATCGTCCACTCGAAGCTTGTGCTGTCTGCAAGGCCAGAGAAGGCCCCTATGGCCGCGTTGGCGGCTGTGTTCAGGGCATCTTCAACGGCGTCTCCTGCAACGGAGCTGAAGCACGAAATCGGCTGTGCCAGGAGAGCAATCCCAGCTTCTGCCACTGCGGTGATGGCCTCTTCCCAGGCGTCCTGTGCAGGGTGCGACTTTACTGACTGATTGGGGTCACCATCCTCCCCCTTCTTCCCTGAGAAAGGGCAGAAACGGTTGGACACCTTGCCTGCAGGAAGCTTGCGTCCAGCTCGGCAATCATCTCGTCAGGGATACCAAAGGCGGACAGTGACGTGGTGACGCGGAGGTTGAGCCCCACGGCGGCGCAGGCCGCCGCAGTGTCGCGGGACTCACGGGACTCACGGGACTCACGGGACTCGGCTTGGAGGAAGCTGGTGGACTGTCCGAAGGAGACGGTGCCCACGCTGCGGAGCTCCAGGTGCACCCCCGGGCGCAGCGTGACGGGCACCCCGGGCATGGGGTACACCACCACCTCCGGGCTCACGCCGAAGCGGACCACGCTGTCCGAGGAGGCCGAGAAGTCGAAGCCTGCCTTGCGACTCAAGTCCCGGATCCTTGAATCCAAACACTTTAAAAAAATAAGCTGAAAAAATGAAGCCATGAAAAGCTGAAGCCTAATATACTGCAATCTACGACTGTAATTCAAGGACCTCTGAACACCGCCCCTTTTTTTTTGGGGGGGGGGTCTCATGTTGTTTCCGAGGATCTGGGCGTTGCCGCTGACCTGGCCGTTGGCGGGGTTGGCCTTGAAGTTGGCTCGCGCGGTGAGGCTGACCTCCGCGCTGGCGCTGACGGCCCCGGCAAAGGTTCCCCAGGCCTGGGGCTGAGTTCGAGACACTTCAACAGTTAGGTCATGAAGCTCAAGGGCCTGTAGGGCCTTTAGGGAGTTTTTGTGTTTAGGGAGCTTCCAACCCGCCCAGGGGCATCCGCTTCTGCGATGCCCTGGATCATGATGAGCAAGCAGCCAACGTACCTCAGATCCGATCACCCTGCCGCTCGTAGCTGAAGGCCTATACCTGCCATGCTTCGAAACACCAGGTGTTTCGAACTCAGGTCCTGTTGTTTGCAGGATAGTGGTGCGAGCAAACTCGAGATTAAGAGCTACAGGGATTTATCGGTTTCGAGCCGCGTGCACACCACCTTCACGTAGGGCTTCCGTGGAAAGCGCCTGCCGGCCGAAAAGGTACAGGCTCCCTCCGCTTCGAAGAGCGCTTCCAGCAGAACGCCGGTGGTCACCGTGACCTCTACGTGAGGTGTTGGGGATTTAAGTGATTTAAGGTTGTGGTTCGGGGTGTGTATGAATTCTACAGGACTTGTATCGTATCAGGAGTTGAGGGCCGAGGTCTGACTAAGGGTTGGCTGGTATAAACGGTCGAGGTTCTACACGAATACCGGGTTCCGGGACATGGAGGGTTTGGTGAGCCCTCACCTGCACATCCGTCTCACCGGAGGTAACATCGACGGTCCCTTCGACGATGATGTCCGCAACATCCAGCTCCGCATCAAAGGCGACGCTGGCACCCAGGGAGCAGGAGTCCTGGAGCTCGTTAGGGTTTAGGGTTTAGGGCCGGGTTTAGGGTTTGGGCTTTCGGGTTTAGGGTTTGGGGTAACAAGCAAACGACCCCCCTTGACCTCATCAAAACCCAGGGAAGATGCACACAGGATTCGCTATAGCCCTTGACGCAGAGATCCTACTCCTAGCCCTAAGTAAGTCCTTCAAGCCCTTCAAGCCTTGACTCCCTCCATTCTTCCCTAGCCAATCACCCTGCGAACTTTTCCCTATACATCCTATCAAAAACCACACCAAAGGCTTGGCCCCAAGAGGAGTCCTCGTAAAAGGACGCGGGCGAAGCCGGGGACAAAATCTTCGCCGCGTTGTTTTTGGCCCGCTTCACGGCCTGGCTCTTGAGGCTCGGCCTCGGGGAGGACCGCTTTCCTGAGGCGCTCGGACTTCGGGGGGAGGTTTCGGAGGGTTTTTGGGGTTGAGGGCTTTAGGAGAGGGTTTGGTGTTTAGGGGGTTGAGGGTTTAGGGGGTTTTGGGGTTGAGTGTTTGGAGCCAAACAGCAGAAGAGGGGGCGCCTTAGGTCGGGCTGTTGGTATGGAGCCCGAGCGTCCGCTCCGATCCTTGCCGGGGAGCTTCACCCTTCCGGAGGTGGACCTGGACCTGTTTCCGAAGGTGGTGGAGTTCGAAGCTTCCCAGCCCCAGCTCCGGGTGAGGCCGCTCTTCACTACCTGAGGCAACGCCAGACCCCTGAATCTTGCAAGTTGCCGAGGTAGGACCTTGTAAATTGTAAATGGCTTCATGAGAGGAACCTACAAAAACAAGAACGGTTTGGGTTACGATAAGATGCGCAGATGACCGTGAGCTCGGATCCGGAGAGTGAGATGTCACTTCGTGGATTGCTGTCGCACTCGCAGTTGTTCGACAGCAGTAGCTTGCAGAACAAGTCCTGAACCTGCGTGAGGCAGTTGATGAAGTCCAGGATCGCGTTCCAGGCATCCAACGCAAAGCCCACCTGTGACTCAAAACCAGTTGCAAAGTGCTCAGGGTTGTAACTCTGGGGGGGCAAGAAAGACCTGAGAGGAGACCAAGAAACCCGAATGCAGACACGTGTCACATACGTCGGGAAAATAACAGACACAATGCGTGAGACGAATGACTCAATGACGGCCTCGTGAACAATCGGCTTTCTTTTGTCTCAATCTGCACGTTGTCAGGTTTTGCAGCTTCAACCACGAGACGTCCCTACGCGAGCCTTTCTTCTCTCTTCCTTCCTGTCTCGCTTCTTCCTCATCTCGGACTCATCTCGTACATCTTTCGCGTTCTTCTGTCGTCTCTGTCCTGTATCTCCTTCTCCTCTCCTCTCTACAGAACGGATGTGCTAGTGAAAGCCGTCACTACTCGCCAAGGAAATGACAACGCCTCCTCCTTTCCTTCCCCCTCCTCCTCTCCTCCCCTCCTCCTCTCCTTCTCTGGTTTGGCTTCTGGAATTTGGCGGCGTTCAAACCACAATCTCTGAACATCGCCTGCATTTCAGTACTCCAAACGAAGCGTCTCCAGGGCATTCCGACCGGAACGAAGCTGACGAGGCGCGGCGTCTAAAACTATTGCCCATGAGATGGAGAGATCGTGCAGATTAAACGGTTTCCTTACATTTCCTTTTGATGGGAACTGGATACAGTAGATTCAACGGTTTCTGTACAATGGTAACTTCGCTGAATCAGGATATAGAGGGCTTGCAATATATTGAGCCCCAGGCACGGCCAGCATCCCGAAAGCCTCCGCAGCATCCCCCAGGCGGTCGATGGCCTCCTGCACCTTGCTGAAGGACTTCCAAGGGGGGCCCT